AGTTGAGACATCAGATTTTTTGGGAGAGGCTCACGCGAGCAAGTTTTCCATTCATCCGGGAGCGACCAAGATGTACCATGACCTCAAGAGGTACTATCATTGGGTCGGGATGAAGAGAGATGTAGCAGATTGGGTTGCGAAGTGCAACACTTGTGCCTTGGTGAAGGCAGAGCATCAGGTTCCGGGTGGTCTTTTGCAGAGTTTACCCATTCCCGAGTGGAAGTGGGACAGGATTACGATGGATTTCGTGGTTGGACTACCTGTTTCAAGGACTTTCGATGCTATCTGGGTGATTGTGGATCGGTTGACTAAGTCCGCACATTTCTTGGCCATCAAGAAGACAGATGGAGCTGCTGTCTTGGCTAGGAAGTTTGTGCGAGAGATTGTGAGGCTGCATGGAGTGCCAGCTAGTATTGTGTCAGACCGTGATCCCAGATTCACTTCAGAGTTTTGGAGGGCGTTTCAGGCAGAGATGGGCACTAAGGTGCATCTGAGTACAGCTTATCATCCGCAGACAGATGGTCAGTCAGAGAGGACTATTCAGACTTTGGAGGATTTGCTGAGGATGTGTGTGTTGGATTGAGGTGGCCATTGGGCAGATCACCTGAGCTTAGTTGAGTTTGCATACAACAACAGCTTTCAGGCGAGTATTGGCATGGCTCCATTCGAGGCTTTGTATGGGAGGCCATGTAGGACACCCCTATGCTGGACCCAAGTGGGGGAGCGCAGCATGTATGGAGCTACTTATGTTCAGGAGACGACAGAGAAGGTTCGTGTTGTGAGGCTGAACATGAAGGAGGCTCAGGATAGGCAGAAGAGTTATGCAGATAGACGCAGACGAGAGCTTGAGTTTCAGGTTGGAGATAGAGTTTATCTCAAGATGGCTATGTTGAGGGGTCCTAACAGATCCATAGCAGAGAACAAGCTGAGTCCGCGATTTATGGGTCCGTTTCCAGTAGTGGAGCGAGTTGGGCCATTAGCTTACAGGCTGGAGTTGCCTGAGATTATGAAAGCCTTTCACAAGGTTTTTCATGTGTCGATGCTGAGGAAGTGTCTTCACCCTACAGAGGAGTTAGTGGCTAGGATTCCAGAGGATCTTCAGCCAGATTTGACAGTGCCGGCAGTGCCTGTGAGGATTTTAGAGAGGAGGGAAAGGTTCTGAGGAACAAGAGGATTCCCTTACTGAGGATTTTGTGGGATTGCAGTGGTTCTACAGAGGAGACTTGGGAGCCAGAGGCAAAGATGAAGTTGAAGTTCAGGAAGTGGTTCGACAAGCAGGTCGAGGAGTGAGCTTATTTCATCTTTGTAGCCTCAGTTGTTATTTTTGGCTTTGGTGTTATTGTATTTTCGTTTTCATTGTAACGATATACATTTTGGAGTTTTAATGAGATGCAGTTTTTCCTCATTTTGCCTTGTGTTGTGAAATGGTATTCGGATGTTACACATGTTTGACCAGTTTTGGTTGTGAGACGGTCTAATCTTATGGTTATAGACATTTTTCCAGAATTTTTACTCTAAGGATTGCGATTCCTGAATAACTCATCATGTTTTTGGAGACTTCGTTCTCTGGCAGACTCTCTGGGTGCAAGTAGGCCTCAGTTGAGTGTAGCTTATCTGGGTGCAAGTAGGCCTCAGTATAAGTAGTTTAGTTCATCTGGGTGCAAGTGGGCCTCAGTATGGACGGTTTTCGGGTTCGTCTGGGTGCAAGTGGGCCTCAGTACGGTTTGTTCGTCTGGGTGCAAGTGGGCCTCAGTGCGGACCGGTGTGGACTTGTCTGGGTGCAAGTGGGCCTCAGTACAGTGTTTGTGTGTTTGGATGATGAGTTAGGAGTAAAATTCTTGGAACGTGTTTATGACATAAGATATGACGTTTGTCTCGGGGATCAGGTGAGGATCTCCGGTGTTGCGGCCTTGCGAGGTTGGGTTTTGTGGTCTTTGTGACGTTTGTGTTGGGATTCGAGGACGAATCCAGTTTAGTGGGGGAGAGTTGTAACATCCATAAACCAAAAATAAAAATTGGGAATTTTGTCGGTTCAATTTAAGTGAATTGGTTTGGGTCGGTTTAGTGGAGAAAGCCCTAAAATCAAGTTTAAAGAGTGCAGCCGTCTTCTCTTTGGAGAATTTTCGAGTTCAGATGCTGTAGAGGAGAAAAGTTGAGTTTTTGGAGAGATTTTCGAATTCATTACTGTTCATCGGTAGTTCACGGGTTACTGTCACTGTTCACGGGTACTGTTCATCGTACGTTCACGGTTACTGTTCATCGTCGATTCGGTTCCATTTGTTCATTCTTATTCTGTTCATCGTCTTCCTTTTTCCTTCAGTTTCAGTCAATTGTCAAGGTGAGTGCATGACTGTGGGTCCGCGATTTGCTAGATTAGATTTGGTTTATGATTGTTCTTGATGAGTTTTGTGTTTAATTGTTATTTCATGATATTTTGGTTGTTTATGTGGATGAATTGTGTGTTTGTGTGGTTTAATCTGGTTAATTGAATTTAATGGTTTAATTGGTAATTTAATTGATTTGATTCTGTTTATCTTGGTTCAATTGAATTTAATTGGTTTATATTGGTTTAATTGAATTTAATTGGTTTAATGGAATTAAATAGATTTAATTCGGATTTAATTAATTAAATAATATTTATTTAATTAATTGGTATTATTTTAATTATTTTAAAATATGGAAAATTATTATTTAATTATGAGAATTATTTAATAATTGAGAAATTGAGTTTTAATTATTAAAAATTATTTAATAATTGGAAAATGGTATTTAATAATTATTGAGTTTATAAATATTATTAAATATCTAGTAAATTGCGTAAATGGCTCGTAGGCAGAGTGATTGCCTCACTAAGTATTTATTAAATACTTACGCAACTCCATTCCAATGTGTTGCAGGTAAAAGATTTGTGTGATCGCGGAATCAAGGCTGAAGAGGGGGATGATAGGATGTTTACTGTTTTATTGTTTTGCATTATTTTGCTAGACTTGTTTAATTATTATTTGCTTCCGCTGAGCTGATTTATTTGTTATTGATATTTTATTTATTTAATTTTTTTTAAGACCTTCGCTAGAATTGATTAATATTTAAAAAAAAAAAAATGTTGGTTGTTTCACAAACTCCAATTATAAACCCTCCTCTAATTAAAGAATTTACACTAAAAAAATCATTATAACTTTTTCAACTAAATCTCATATTAAAATTAGATTTTTCTTTTACTTTTTTTTATTTATGAATATTTTTTTTAATGGCTGTTTTCTTCTCCTTTTTATTCTTCTCTGGTTATTTTATCTTCTTCTTTTTTCTTCCATTTTTTATTCATTGTTATCATCTTCTTTTTTATGCTTCTTCTTCATCTTCCAATTTTTGTTCTTCAATCGGTTCTTATGTCTTTATATCCTCCAACTCAATATTCTTCTTTTTCTTTCTTATTTTCTTTACATTCTATTTCCGATTTTTCTTTTCCCTCATTCCCCCTCGCTCTCTCTATCTTTATCATCTTCGTCTTCTTTGACATCATCTTATTATAGTTTTTATTTATCTCTTCTTTGTCTTTTTTTTCTTCACATTCCATTTTTTCTTTTTCCTCGTGTTAAATTTTTCTTCTTCCTCTCAAAGTTTCCTATCTTGTTTTCCATCGTCTTCTTTTCTCTTACTCTTGTTTTTCATTCTTGTCTACGTTTTGTATTTCACTTATCAATTCATTTGATAGTTAAGATTTTGTTAATTCATGAATTCAATTAATATTAGATTAACGCGTTTTCTTTTTAATTATTTTTCATATTTTTGTAATGTGTTTATTTTCCATGGAAGTAATAGCTTTACATTTTGTTAATTTGATAAGAACTTATAAAATGTGAAAGCATAAAAAAATTAGTTAAATTTTGTAATGGTTGTTTTCTTCTCCCTCTTATTCTTTTTTACTGATCCCATATTTTCTTTTTTTTCTTCCATTTATTCATTCATTGTCATCATCTTTTTTTTCCCGCTTCTTCTTTTTCCAAATTTTCGTTCTTCAATCTTTTCTTGTGTCTTCATATCCTCCAACTTACTATTCTTCTTTTTCTTTCTAATTTTCTTTACATTCTTTTTACGTTTTTTCTTCTTCCTCATTCCCCTCACTCTCTAGCTTTATCATCTTCGTCTTCTGAGATATCATATTATTCTAGTTTTTTTATATATCTCTTCTTTCTCTTTTTTTCTCTTTTACATTCCATTTTTCTCCTTTGATTTATTTTTCCTCATATTCGAGTTTTCTTCTTTTTCCTCTCCATATTTTCCATCTTCTTTTCCATTGACTTCTTTTCTATTACTCGTATTTTTATTAGTTCTTGTATACGTCTTGTATTCCACCTATCAATTCATCTGATACTTTAGATTTTCAAGGATTTATGATGTAGTTTTTTTTAATCTTTATATAGTTGAGATCTTTTGAAAATCTTTGTTATCTTTCGATTCTGGATTTGCTTTAATTGTTATAGTTTTTTTTCTATTTGTGAATGTAATTTTGAAAGGTAGTTATCAAGTTATAATCAATGATTTATAATTGTGATTTTTAAAATAATTCAAATTTTTAAAAATGCACCAAAATCTAAACCCTACACCCATCAATATAAACCCTAAACCCAAACTCCACATTATAAATCCCTCCTCCCCCAAAATTAAAGAACCTACACCCTAAACCCACAAATCCACATTATAACTCCCCCTCAACTTCACACCTGAACCTCATATTACAAATTAGATTTAGATTTGCTTTTATTTTTATTTCATTTATAAAAGTTTTTTTTAATTGTTGTTTTCTTCTCCCTTTTATTCTTCTCTAGTGATCCTATCTTCTTCTTTTTTCTTTCATTTTTTATAGATTGTCATCATTTTCTTTTTTCTGCTTCTTCTTCATCTTCCAATTTTTGTTCTTCAATCGGTTCTTGTCCCTTTATATCCTCCAACTCACTATTCTTCTTTTACGTTCTAATTTTCTTTACATTTTATTTCCGATTTTTCTTTTCCCTCATTCCCCTCCTCTCTCCCTCTCTATCTTTATCATCTTTGTCTACTCTCACATCATCTTATTATAGTTTTTATTTATCTCTTCTTTGTCTTTTTTTTCTTCACATTCCATTTTTTCTTTTTCCTCGTGTTAAATTTTTCTTCTTTCTCTCAAAGTTTCCTATCTTGTTTTCCATCGTCTTCTTTTCTCTTACTCTTGTTTTTCGTTCTTGTCTACGTTTTTTATTTCACTTATCAATTCATTCTATAGTTTATACTTTTTTAATTCATGAATTCAATTAATATTAGATTAACACATTTTCTTTTTAATTATTTTTCATATTTTTGTAATGTGTTTATTTTCCATGTAAGTAATAGCTTAACATTTTGTTCATTTGATAAGAACTTATAAATTGTGAAAGTACAAAAAAATAGTTAAGTTTGGTAATGGTTGGTTTCTTCTACCTCTTATTATTTTTCATTGATCCCATCTTTTTTTTTTCTTCCGTTTATTTATTCGTTGTCATCATTTTTTTTTTCTTCTTCCTCTCAAAGTTTCCTATCTTGTTTTCCATCGTCTTCTTTTCTCTTACTCTTGTTTTTCGTTCTTGTCTACGTTTTGTATTTCACTTATCAATTCATTCTATAGTTTAGATTTTGTTAATTCATGAATTCAATTAATATTAATTAACACATTTTCTTTTTAATTATTTTTCATATTTTTGTAATGTGTTTATTTTCCATGGAAGTAATAGCTTAACATTTTGTTAATTTGATAAGAACTTATAAATTGTGAAAGCACAAAAAATAGTTAAATTTGGTAATGGTTGGTTTCTTCTACCTCTTATTATTTTTCATTGATCCCATCTTTTCTTTTTTTCTTCCGTTTATTTATTCGTTGTCATCATTTTTTTTCCCGCTTCTTCTTTTTCAAATTTTTGTTCTTCAATCCTTTCTTGTGTCTTCGTATCCTCCAATTTACTATTCTTCTTTTTCTTTCTAATTTTCTTTACATTCTTTTTACGTTTTTTCTTCTTCATCATTCACCTCACTCTCTATCTTTATCATCTTCGTCTACTGAGACATCATATTATTTTATTCTATTTTTATTTATCTCTTCTTTGTCTTTTTGTTCTCTTTACATTCCATTTTTTCTTCTTTGATTTATTTTTCCTCATATTCGAGTTTTTTTCTTTTTCCTCTCCATATTTCCCATCTTCTTTTCCATTGACTTCTTTTCTTTTACTCGTATTTTTATTAGTTCTTGTGTACGTCTTGTATTCCACCTATCAATTCATCTGATAGTTTAGATTTTCAAAGATTTATGAAATAATTTTTTTTTATCTTTATATAGTTGAGATCTTTTAAAAATCTTTGTTATCTTTCGATTCTGGATTTACTTTAATTGTTCTAGTTTTTTAATATTTGTAAAAGTATATATAAAGTTATAATCAATGATTTATATTCTGATTTATATAATCATTCAAATTTTTAAAAATGCACCAAAAACTAAACCCTACACCCACCAATATAAACCCTACACCCTAAAACCTAAACCCCACATTGTAACACCCCCCCCCCCAAACAAACGACCTAACCCTAAACCCAAACCCACGTTATAACTCCCCCCCAAACTACCCTACACCAAAACCCCACGTTATAACTCTCCCCTAAACCGCATGGATTTGCTTTTATTCTTATTTTTTTCCTTAAAACATTTTTTTTTACTCGGTAATGTAGTGTATTCAAATTTTTTAAATGCAACAAAAATTAAACCTTACGCGAATCAATATAAACCGTATATCGTGTACCCCAACCCCATTTTTTAATTTTTTTTACTTCTTTCATATTTTTTCCTTCATTTTCTACCGTTTTTCCTTATTCTTATCAAAATTTATAATCTCTTTTTCTTTTCCTCTCTCTTCATCGATATCTTTTTATTTCCTGGTTT